ATCCTCTATAAACTCATAAACTTTACGAATGTATTTTTTTTCTTTTTTTTTTCCCCACTCCTCATCGAAGTAACGTCAATAAATATTCAAGCGTGAAATTCTGCGTAAGAAATAAATTGTACGAAAGAAATCTCCTATTCGCGAAATAACCATATTCAAATGATTCTAAAAAAAAAGAGCAAAAGATAGAATTTCATAGAATTTCACTTATAAAATTTCCTTATACGAAACTTTTGCGATCGACTGTATATACTTTCAACTACTTATGGCATGCCTTTTGATAGAGAACAGACGTTCCGTTCCGCGAAAGAAGCGGTCTCGAGGCCGCTTCCACTTGAAACACGTCGACAGCGGCGCATCCGTGAAAAGTTTCTTCAACGTGGATCCTGAGGGACGTGTGGAAACATTGAACTGTCCGTAGGGAAGACATACGAGACCCGTGAGACTTTAAGTGGCTAATTAAACAACTTTCCCATGATGCGTGGATCGGGGAGGGAATTATCAGAGCGTGGTAGAACTGGATTAATGTTATGATTAATTAGATTCCTGATCGAACGTGCACGACTGTTTTCACTTTGCCATTTCGTGTCGGCGATATAATTCTCTGGATTCATTAGGAGCAGGTTCTTTTTTCATCTTCGTAGAAGAAAAGTGAATGTTGATGAAACTGTTTATGCAACTTAAAAGTCAACGTGGTTGCAAGCTCTTCTTAAAGTTTCTTCCAGCAATGGAATTATTTTTTATCCGCGTTGTTAATATTATTTATATAAATGGTTATTATATTATTATGCATTTTAAAGTTTATCTATTAGGAGAAAGTGTTGAAAAATTTTTTTCTATAGTATGTTTCTATATATCGATTTACAAATATAAATAGTTTGCAATTATAAAAATTTATTATTTCGGGTATTTTTTATTATTTTAAAAAGATCACTCTTTGTTACAATTATTTTTTATCCGCGTTGTTAATATTATTTATATAAATGGTTATTATATTATTATGCATTTTAAAGTTTATCTATTAGGAGAAAGTGTTGAAAAATTTTTTTCTATAGTATGTTTCTATATATCGATTTACAAATATAAATAGTTTGCAAATATAAAAATTTATTATTTCGGGTATTTTTTATTATTTTAAAAAGATCACTCTTTCACTGTTTCAAGGTAAATATTATTTAATGATTCATCGAATGAATTCATCAGTTATATTAATAGGTCTCATTAAACGGATGTGAGCATTAAATACACAACACCCAGGAAAGATAAATATTTACCATGTTATTCTATAATACGGTTTTTCTCAGAATTCCAAACAGTGAAACTTTTCACGATATAACAGAACAGAAAGATTAAATAGAATGACAGACAATTTTAGAAACAGAGAAAAAAATCCACTAATTAATTCATAATATACTTATCTACCAAATCTTCTTATATATAAAACTATAAACAACAAAAATCAGGACTAATTTCGACATTACTTTTAACTTTTTAAATTCTGTGTCTCAAACAGTACATAATTCTCGAGAATCTTAAATATATTCCTTACATAAGTGACGCGAGTTCAAAAGGCAAACGTACAAACACTCTGTCATCGCATTGTTAGAAGTTACGATGCAATAGTCATGATGCATCTCCTACGGTGGCGCTCTCTGTGCATCGCGCTTCCGGTTAACCAATTTTGTCGCTTGAAGGCCAGTATGAGAGAGAGAGAGATAGACGCAGCACGTGGATTACGTAAGGCAATTCGCTTTCCATCGAATGCAGGACGCCTAGAAACCGGAGAAATGCAGCGCGTGCTTGACTGAGCCGCTGCATTATAACCGGCAGACTATTTTGAAGCTGTGATTTTTAGAAATATAGGTCAGCCGCGTTTCTCTGCTTGGCGTTACAGGGAATAAACCGCGCACAATTTTATATTTCTTTTTGTTTCCTTTTTTCTCCTCAATCAATAATATATTTCTTTTTTTAATGAGATCGTGAATGAAAAGATTATTGATGGACGATAGATAAAATATGTTTATTGGGTATTATTAAAGTGAAATGAGTGAATGGAGATTGTGCAAATAGTAGAAAAATAATAAACAATTTAAAAATGTGTGATGATTGATTATAATGTAAAAATTTAACTCGAAAAATAATCTTGAATAAAACTTTAGCAATTATATCGAAAGAATAATTAAATTCTAGTTAATGCTATCCACACATAATTTGCACAATCATTAAAGAAAAATAATCAACTCGCGCACAAGTTAAATACTCGTTTTCAATTTATTTTGCTCCATTACGAAGTCACTTTGTTCCTTTTCTGTTCTATCCATCGCAAAACGTCCTGTACATCGAGGATCAGGAAGAGAATTCCTCTACGATCTCGTCTCTCGTCCTTAGAAAAACCGACGCGCCATTGAACGTTAATTAATACCTCTTAAACGATCGTTTTTCGAAGTATCGAGTCGAAGAGAACTCCGACGATGAAGTCGGAAGCGGAAAATAACTTTTCCAGCGACAACAGGGATCACAAATATAGCGACCTAGGTAGCTCGACTATTTTTAAAGCGGACATTTAGCTTTCGTCTACGGCTTCCCAACCGGCTCGCCGCTATTTTTCTCTTCTCATTCTCCTTGTTTTCGGTTTATCTACCGTTACTTTCTCCTTTACACCTTCGCTTCCTTTCCTCTCTATCTCTCTTCCTCTTCCAGGCCACGCGACTTCTATCGTACCCTCGCGTTTTTTCGTAATATCTCTCCGCATCTTCGTGGTTTTATTCCTTCGAACACTGGCATCGTGTCGTGGAAACCTCTGGGAATCGGCGATGTCTCGAAGAAAGAATCGAGGGAAGAAAGGCTTCATTTCCGTTACTTAATCCTTTCAGGATTTATCGTGGAACGATTTGTTAATCGGAAATAAGCGAAAAAGATGCGATTTTTGTTCTCTTTTTTTTTTTTCAGAAAATTTTCTTATCTGAATTTATATTTTTAATTTCACTCAAAAATGAAAGATATTAAAAAATTTGCGTGCCTCTAATTTGGCATTCAAAGGAAAATAAAATCAGTCTTATGTTTCATGCAGGAACTGAAAGTTATTCGTCAGTTGTTCACGATCAGTTAACAAAGTTATTTTCACCGTCGTTATTATACGGTCTCCGTGTTTTTGATATAATTCCATTACGTGTACGTATAATTCACGAGTTAAATGTTTCTATTTTTGAAACGACTTGATGATGTAACTTAGTGACTTAATATCGCGTGTCCAGCGAATCGAGACCACCTGATGTCAGATGAAGAGATTATCATCTTGCATAGACGGAAACGTACGTGAACCAAATGATCCGCAGATAAATTTAGTAGATTAGCTTGCATTAGCCCAGATTGTTGACCCGTAAGTCGGCCTATTCGTACGTTGAACTCATTTCTTGGAAATGATAAAAAATCTATAATGAGAAAAAGAGCTTATATCGAATCTTCCTCGCGTATTTCATTTAGAAGATTCATCGAGAAAGTATTATTTCGTTCGATAGAGAAGATAATATCCAATTTTGAAAATTGATGATTTTTCTTGATTTTTTATTTTAAAAATATATTCATTATTCATTATTTTTTTATTTTTACTTTCATAAGTCTCATTTTAATTTCAATATCTCATTGATCATATTACTTTACGAAATTAATAGTTACATATTTTATTATCCCTATTATTACTGTTTATCACGAAAATATTATCGGTTTATTAGTAATAATTATTGTCACGTTCATCCCTATATCCATTGGAAAGAAACACATTTTTCACAATAATTCGTTTGATCGAGTATGCGTGATTAAATTCCACCATCCTACCAATTTGAATAAACCAGCAATGAAACGTAGGATAACAGGGGAAAACAGTATTCGAGCCGAGGCTTGGCTATACACAACGAAACTACATTTTACAATTTACCTCGGCAAACTTCTCAGGAATTCCCTTCGAATCCGCCTCTCCACATCCCCAATAATTCCCCCTGTTGGATCCGTATACCTCGACGCTACAAATCTTCGCCCCACTGCGCGAAACGGTTTCCCTTCCCTCACAATTTTCTCCGACACGAAAATTTCAAGGATGCTCGACGGGGGATAGAAAACGAACGTTTATAGCCGATACCGGAATTTACACGATCCTCGATATCCCCTCCACCCGCTACGAGAAAGAAATCAGAAAGCGTTTAAGTCGTCGAGCGATAAAGAAGGGGAAGGCGAGACGAGTTTCCTGTGTAATTCACGAAACCGTCTAGTTCGCAAAGTGGCATCGCAAGTTTAAAATTAGGAGACGAGTTGGGAATAGTTTCCGCCCCTGGATTGTGAAAGGTCGCCTCTTTGCTCGAGGCTAGTTTCGAAACGGTTAAAGGAGAAAATTGACCGATGCTTAACTGCCTATCATTTGCGACAGCTGGGTAGCTTTTTAATTTTATTTTACGCCGTCAGGTGGCGTGATGTTGCTGATGCGATGCAATTTCCACACGTCGTCGAGTGGTTATTGCGATGTATGAAGTTGTTCATCGTATCAAGTATTCGGTGATTTGATGATTGGGAATTGGGGGTGAAATGGATCATTTTATATAGTTTTATAGTTTGTCGTGAGTAGTAATTATTATTACATTTTTAAATTTTATTTTATAGATGTATTGTTGTAAAAATGTGCATAATGTTCAAATTTTATTATCTATATTTATGTTACATTAAAGTGTTTAAATTATTACATAAAAGTGATTATTCGAGTAAAAAGATAAGTAAATTAAATTTGATATTTATGTATCATTTTATTATTTAAATATTGTCAAACATAAATGAAAATTTATGTTAATCTATATTTAAAATATTTTGTATTTATATAAAAATTATGTATTTATATTTTATATCGTTATTATATTTCATATTAAATTGATAATTAAGTTCATTAATTTTAATGTTTATTAGATTTAATTCATAAAATATATTATACTAACAATATATCCTCTTTTTTGTTACAGCTTGATGATACGGCGCTCCAGCTCTACAAAGATGGCGACTATGGTGCCTATTTGGACCTCGAAGCTTCCATCAGTGAGCAACAAGAAGAATTCGAAGGCTTCCAAACCAAGTAAGTCTTGCACTAATACAATATTAATACAACATTTCTCAAATATATTTCTCGTCCATAAAATTATGATTTAAATTACGATTATTAATCATATACATATTAAAAATTTAAAAAAGATTTATTATTAGAATAGAAAATATTTTTTTCAGAGCATATTATTTTGTAAGTAGCTTAAAGTCGCATAATATTGGGCTTAATATATTTTATAATTAATCATGGATAATTAGTTGGAACTCCGTTGGAGACGAATATTTTGTTTATTGAGCCTTCGAGGTGCATCGAGAACTTGGAGACCCGTCTCTGATACCTTTGATCCCACGAGATTCGATGTACTTTACCTACCTCGTGTTGGGACAACTGAATTATACAGAAACTGTTTCCTAAGATATATGAGCAAACTTTGCAGGCATGTTTCGAGTAAGTGTGAGGACGAAAAGATATCGTGTAAACGTAGTGGAATTAAGGCCTTTCAACTAAGACATATTAAGTCGTATAAACTTTCTTACTAATTTAGGTTAGAATATTTAGAGGGTCTTATAAATTACGAGGTTAGATTGTACAAAATGATTCGTTCAATTACGAAAGATAAATAGAAGTTATTTATTCAGAATGAGTAAGATAATTTTACGTAATATTATATTATGAGTTGAATAAATTTTCTTGAATATTTAGAGAAAAAACTATACGAATAAGACAAGATTATATAAATTTCACGTAGTTTTTGCTATTTCACCGAAAGAATTGGAGAACGCAATGAGAAAAATCTTTTTGTCTCGGGCCAAATTAAATCAGCAACAGTAAACAGGATGAGAATTTGTATATACGTGTATAGAGTCGTGAGAGATTGATGACACTGATCCTGATCTATTGACGTGTTACTGGGAACTGGAAATAATGCCAGGAAGGAAAAAGTAGGTCTCTTTCCTCGTAATTTTGACTCATTTTCCTCGACATATATTTCATTAAATTGAATAACGTTGATAAGTTCGTTATTTTTCTTTCGTATTTTCTTATGAATTATATATAGAAATGATGATACTTTCATTAGATCCTTTAAAAAATCTGGTAGTCTAACGAAAAGAAATTATTTATCGAATGAAAATAAATCTGTTTATAAATTGAAATTAATTTCAAATAATTTAAATACACGTAGATTTTAGAATTTAAAATATAGATTAATATCTCGAATAGATTAACTTTTGAACAAGTTCTGAATTATTTTTCTATCAATTCACTTACGGTTAATTAAACTATTCGCGCCATCTCTTCTCATAAAATCAAAACTAATAATCACATTTTCAATTATCTATCTGGACATATATAGGATTTCACAATCATCCGTTCCTTTTATATATTATCTTACGTTCCTCGACAACGAATGTAATTAGGTCGCAGCAGGATACTACTCGCTTTCTTGTTTCTCCTTTCCAAGGGGGATTAATCCACGACTTTTTCTCGTTCTTGATCCAGTAACGGCGCGATCTTTTTCTGTATTCATACACATATCGGTCGGATATTACGCGTGGAAGCGTGTCGGTGGAAAATCACGACGAAGATAAGAATCTAGGATTAATTAAGACCGGCTTGGAGAGAAATTAGTCTGTTGGCGTTAATTTCGCATCGTGCAAGATCTCGAGGACCTTGAGTCGTGTCGAACACGCTTTCAATAATCGACACGACCGCCGAATAATGTTCTTAGTGTTAATTAAGAACACCTCTGAATGCAGTATATATATATATATATATCCGTTGCTTTCACTTCATGTTCGAGTTTCTGAGATTAGATGCAGTCGTATATATTTCGCAAAGTCGATGCTCCATTCGACGAGACGATTCCAGGATGAAAAAAAGGTATATAAAGGTGGAATGCGTTGATGAAAATTCTTTGCGTGGTGTTAATGACGAGTGTGAAACGGCAGGGGAATAACGAAGATTTAAATTGAGCTCTTTGTGCTCTTTGTTCGGGCCAGATTGTTAAATGTAATTATTTTAATTATTTCTTTTTTTTTATCGTATGAAAAAATGTAACGAAAGCTTTTAAATTGGAAGATGGTAAACGAGAATTATATTTTTGTGAAGATAATTTTGAAGAAATTATGGGAGAATAATTAGCTTCGATCGTAATATAAATTTTTTCCCAGTTTTATTATAATGCTGTGTTAACAGATGGCGTACGTAGTACTTTTGTCGCTCGAGAGGAGAAAAAGTTCAGAAAAATCGTAATTAAAATGAATATTTAGTTAGTTTGGATACATAATTTTATTTTCATGGCGAGAAAAAAACAAAATTTCCATTTAAATCTTAATTTGTCGTTTCCTTAAATATTTATCGATTTATCAATTTAAATCTGATCTTAACGTATCACTTTTCAAATGTAATTAAACATCAAAAAAAAAATCTTTTAAATGCCTTTTTAAATCCCATCAAAAAACGCGAAAAACGAAAAAAAGAAAGAAAACTACACGTACCTCACTTTAAATATGAAATCCAACTTAATTAAAATTCGTGTTTCTTTTCAAATATTCCTTTTCAAAAATTCTTCAGTGGGAATGATAAAAAACCACTTATTTCTCGAAAAGCGTGGCTTAAATCTCGCGTATCGGATTCGCGTTAAGATCGATACCGAACGACTCGATTTCGCAAAATAGTACTTCGAGAAGTATCGAGGAATCGCATTTTCGATTATTCTCGGTTCATAGCCCGAGGATCGAGGTTTTCGCCGATTTTCCAATGAAACCTACGCGATCGCTCGTTCCTCCGCCACAATGGCTGCTGAAAACGGGGGATGGAGAGGAGGAGAAGGAGGAGATAGAGATTCATCGCGTTCATTGTGTGTAACAACACACTCTATGCTCGAGAGATTGACTTCCTCCTCGAGGCGAATCGATATGAATTACTCATTGGATGAAAATTACATCCTACGAGGCTGTGTTTTCTTAGAGAACTTGTGCAACCGCGAATCCTCTTCGACTCGGCTCACGATATTCGTGATTGGACGATTTGAATTTCGTGTCGCGTCAACGAAGTGTGGATTATTCCTTTTTATTTATAACATCGTGCTATTTAATTAGGAAGTTTTTTTTTTTAATAAAAGAGAATTTTACGATTTTTATTATTAAAATCCTTAGAATCAAAATTATTACGAATATTAATATGATTCAACTCGTAATTGTTCATCCAAGAAAATTTCAGAAAATCTTTCGCATCCCTTACTCGTTGAATCCGTCTCTACCACCATTTCTTGCGACACTCGCGAAACATCTGACACGCAAACATTTCGTATATCTGCAAGGATTGAAGAGGCAGATACGGCAGAATTATCGAAATCTTTGGGCAAGAATCGGATAAATATTATCGGAATAAACAGTTATTCGTAGGATGGATCGGGAATAGGGGTTGGAAACAGAGGATTGATGGCGGATTGACGAAAGGCAGGTAGAGGGAGGGGACGAAAGCGGGGTTAAATAAATGTTTGGCCGGTTGGTGCTCTCGTTCTAATATTTGAAATGCCGGAATTTTCACGAACCGCGAAACGACGTCATACGTTTGCCTTCGTCTCGACCCGCCTCCCCCTTTTTCTCCATTCTCTTCCGATACAACAACGGCGGCGAACCGGTTCGACCCTCTTTTTTTTTCTTTTTTCTTTTTTTTTTTATTTCCTTCTCTTCTTTTCCTTTCTCGTCGATGCCCACACGAGTCGAACGAGGCAACGACACGGTCCATGGCTCGCCCTCGATCAGATGAAAACGCGTTTTTCCGCCCGATATTGGCTCTGTGGTTGAAATTTGTCGACCGACCGGTGTGCACGCCACGCTGGACCGCGTTCGATAGCCACCCCCGCGCTTTCTTCCTTGTTCTCTCGTCCTTGGGTATTAACTAGGCGTGCGGATGCTCGAAAATATGGGATAAAATTTTGTTTAGATCTCGAATGTTTATGTTATAAACACGTTTGGGTAATTTTGGAACGTGAATTAATTTGAGATTCACGATTCGATAGAATATGAAACGTGATTTTTGATTGGTGGGAATATTATTTGAGATTTTTTAAGTTTGGAGATTTTCAGGTTTTCATATGTTGGAAGAATTCATAAAGAAAAAAAGAATATACGTGGAATATATATGAAAAATTATTGTACGTATTATTTGTTCTTTTTTTATTTTCATTTTATGATGATTCTTTTGTTTAAAGTATTTCTTTATTTGTGTACGTTTAATTTTTTTATTATATATTATAATCTTTTAAGATTCGAGTATAGTGAATTTGTAAATACTTATCACGAGAATCTTGTTTGTGAAAGATATTTGAGTTTGCCAAGTGATGGATGATTGCGTTTTGTTAGTTTATTTTGTTTATTTGTGCAACAAATTTCACGTTTTGTTATTTGAAGCAATGACGATATCTTGAAAACGCGATAATTGTATATCTTTTATTAGGCACTGATCTTGGAAGGGTATATATATCAGTTGTTATAAAACTATAAACTTTGGCAAGAATCAAATTTCTATTGCAAATTTAAGATTTTTTGAAACCTTAATATTTATACATTCACATAGAATACAATTTTTATTCGAGCATTTTAAATATCTTCAATTTTTTTATTCAAATAATTCAAATATATTATTCAAATAACTATTTCGTGTATACAATTTATTTTTAAATCTGGAATTATTTCCTTTTCGATTGTACAGCAATTTTGAGAACACTCAGTATATTCCATCGGTATATACTCTACTATCCAAATATTAAGCACGTTTATTTTAATCATTACGTTGTTCTCGTGTTCACATCAGAATTACATCATTCACCAAATTCGAATTTAGTTTTCGTGTCTGTAATTCAAACAGAAATAAAACTATCAAAATTCAATTTATGGTAATTAACAAAAACTATTAACTGATAAAAAAAAAATAACGAAATAATTATTTGAAATTTCTAATTTTAAATAAATTAATATTACCTATATTTTCAAATATTAGCAGTTCGAAATAAATAAATATCT